GAAAGACAACTACAAAGAGAGAAATTCCCTCCCTATCAGTTCTCTCTTGTTCGGATGAGGGAAAAACAAAAAATTCTGGATCAGGACTTGGACCAAATTTTGGTAAGAGGAGGTACTGGCATACCTCCCCTTCAAAAAGCGAGAAAGTGTCGGGTGCAGACCATACACCACAACCTCCAAGTAAATCTGGTTAGTAGTGGTTCATAGTGATAGCTGATTTTGGTAAATGATAGTTGTAATTAGTGACAACTGATAGAATACAACTGCAACAGGCTAATCATTTCATTGGCAGAAAACATTTACATTTTGTGAAGGCCGTCGTCACTTGTGGTGTATGGTCTGCACCCGACGCTCTTCTCGTTTTGAAAGCGAGGGTATGTAGAAAAGTACCCTCCCAGATATGAGGTAACGAGTTGAATCACGACTGATAAAGTGAGACTTCTGCCTTCTCAGTGGAGTCACTAACAATGTCACGTCTTAAGTGCGAGTATTGTTAGAAATAATAGTTGTGTAAAGGAAGCTAGAAATTTTTGAAGAGCAAGCAGTGGTCAGAAAAGCCTAAACAAATTCTAAGTATCATGGCGGCCAGCGACCCCTCAAGGCTACCTGACGATGAGAAAAGCACCCCACAACAATTGTACTGTTTCCTTGAAACGTGTACAGAAATACGACAAAACTCTTTTCAGAGCGAATCATCTGCTTGCGTTTCTGGCACTCTGCGACATTCTGGTGTTCGTGATGATGTTTCCCCACTATCTGGCCGCACTGGACGTTTTCGCCCATAACACACAATTCCGATTGGTTCATTTCAACTCGAAAGTGCATTTCGCTGCCCTGACGAATTGGTTCTCAGCAGCGGCGATATGGTAAGGCTTAAGAGTGTGTATCATTGATTTCGGGCCACACTTGGCCTTTTGCTGCCTCTCAGATTTTTGGTATTCAGGCGGCAAAATCGCTAGGACAGGAGCACATCGCCCAGTTTGCTTTATATTTACCTAGACAGACCTGTAAGTTTCGGAGGGAAGGCAGAATCCGGGGCAGAGATTGGAAAATGCTCGAGACGTGGAGCGTCTCTCCTCGCCTGAGGCCTAATCCCCTTTAAAACGAAAAAAGCAAAAAGTTCAAAAGTATTGCCGCCGTGCTCCTGCAACTCGTGATGATCGCAGGGAACAATATGCTTTCTTATAAAAGAGATTGCAAGAAGAATTCCCGCCCGAGTAATAAGCTCCTCACTTCATCCTTCTCGGGATTGCCAACACGCGCTTATCCTAAAATATCTTTCACAAGACCTTTCCATGAGAAAAAGATCCATTGGCCTTCAAACCACCCGAGATGTCTTTTTCGCTACTTTTCACACCCTAAACCTATGGAATTGTTGACTACCAGATCTAGGTGTCATCTACAAAACTATTAAGGAAGTGGGTACGAAAAGGAAATTTTCACATCTGCGGAGAACCTGCTCCCCACAGAGCAATTAGCAGGCCGCCAAGGAAGCGATGTGTGGCGCTTCCACTGCGAACAGTGCTGTGGTTGCTGAGCAGGACCATTGCGCCCTTCCGCCCCATGCGCCGCCCCGCCCACTGGTTTTGTTGATGATCTGGATGGACTGATTGCTGTTGGCTTTTCATTTTGGATGATCTTTTCCCATCTAGCGGCTGTATCTTCCATCTTGCCCATGTTATGCCTTATCAATCGAAACACTATGCTTGTTGGCATGATGGCAGCTATCGGGGTTAACACGTCCGAACAACCTCAGTCTTTACCTCGTCGCTCATCCATGATTCGAAAATGAAACGCCCGGTCATTTCAAGAGCGCGCGCACTATTTTTGAGCTTATTTTTGAGGACATTTATTTCTCTCGCTCTTTTGTTCTCGCCTCTGTTATGTATTTTCTTATTGACCGGACCCCCTCGTCTTCAAACCACAATTTAAACCTTAGCGTAACCGCTGCCTTTATAGGTTTGTGTAGTGCTCGCGTATCCGTGCGAGCGGAGCTTAGGTCATTGTGGAGTTCCCATTTCGATCACATCGTACACTTACGCAATGTGAGGTATTTTATTTCTTTTACTGGGCCTCATTTTGATAGAGGCTATTGTTAGCCGATAATGAAATTTCAACAAGTTTTTTGCTGCGAACAAATCTCGTCGCTAGCATTTTTTCTTGATTGTAATTGGAGCTTATTCATAATTCATGCCATAAACCGCAACTTTGGTGCTGACTGGCAGAACGTTCCACTGCATAATTCTGTGTAGCGCTGTATAGGCTAAACGGCAATCGTCTTTTGTTTGGGCTGATGAGCTTTTTTTGAATTTCGTCAATTAATTTGATAGTTTTGATGGGAAGCGTTTATCCTGGGATAGTTCAGTACCGTAAGCTTATGAGGCAACTCACTAAAGCAGTGAGACGGACTGAAGGCGCAATCGGAACCACAGCGTCTCAATAAGGTTGTGCTGAGTAAAGGTTCGTCACCGTGGACCTGCGTGTGGATTGTTGGGTCAGAAAACGACTATTTAATGACACGAGCCGGGAATTACCAAGGGAATCTCCTAGCCGAAGTTATTCGAACGGAGTGACATTGCAACTTTTTGAAAACTGGATATTTTTATAACGCCGTCCAGGTCCCGAGCATACTCAGGTGTTTTGTTCGCTTGTTCTTTGTAGTGTCCAACAAGCATGCTAGGGTCCAAAAGTCATCAAGTGTACAGAGGGTGTGTCGGACTCGGGTTTGGAACGCATAGAGGATTGAAGTGGCAACGGTTTGGTTTATTTTCCGGGGAATCTTCACGGCTCGCGACCCACCGCGTTCCCGACCCGGTCCTCAGTTTGATCCTTTCACGCCTGAATTCACAATCAAGTTGTGCCTAACCAAGCTGATCATCGATTCTTAGACAAAAGCAACGTCCACGAATTTTGATCGGAAGGCGAAGACGGAATCTCGACCTAATTAACCAATCAAAGTGCATTTCAATTTTGGTTAGTGTGCAATGCCTTAAAACGTAATTTGAAATTATGTTGAAAGTGTCTGGCCATTTAAGAGCTGTGAACTGTACAGAGCATCGCTAGTGTTTTGCTGAGTTGTACAACGCGCAGGCATATATATTTTATTGAGAAATCTGAGTAATTTGAAAAAAAAAACATTGGCAGGATGTTAGAAGATCTAAAATCAACAGTCCCGCTGACATTGAAGCGGTACTCATTACACAGATGTATAAATGCGCTTATTTCAGTCTCGGCAAATCGTTTTCATATCGATGTGCATTCTCGTTGGAACGTTTCTGCTTACAAGGTAGGATACTATTTGCTTTGACATTAAACAGTGCTTCACACAGGAAGAATAGCGCGTCCAGTAAGTTAGTGGACAACTGAAGTAGCTGAACTATACGCTCGTCTGGGTCATACACTTGGCATAAGTGCAGGTTCTCCGTGTTGGCTTGCACCGCTCGAGGAAATGGTTTTGACTTGTTCGGAGGGCGAAATTGTTTCTTCATGCTGCAATAACAGCCGTCTTAAACGAAAGAGCTGCCTTTCATGAGACTAATTTCGCAACCGCTAATGACGGAGTAGGTCTTACATCGCGTCTAATGCCTTGTCAGAGCACAGCTTAGGTGTCCTTGGTGTATTTGCAGGATATTGTTTGCCGTCCTCACGTAAGTCTTACTACCAGTGCTTCTTGGGACCTGGTATTTAGTACATATACAGTAGCTGAAAGGCTTTGATTCTCTGCCCTTCGACGCACTCTGCTGGGCTGTCCGGGCTGTGTTCTTAAGGGGATCAGTCAGAAATCACTAACTGCGGTGAAAACTGGCTCGGGTGGTGCTCACTGTATTTTCCGATTCTCGCTAGTAAAAGCGGAAGGGATATGGAAAGTGCGCCCGATTTGGTCCGATCCCTTCCAAATGCAAAAGCCGCGCGCGATGCCTCTACGCCCACAGCTGGGAACTCTGTGTCCGTTTCGGACAGTACAGTGAAAGGGGAGTCTGAAAGCTCCGCCTTCTACCGCACTGTTTCAGACCTGGTGAAACTGGAAACAGAAAACTGCAGCAGAAGGAAAATGCCCTTGTACCATAGAATAGCGCCAATCTTCACCTTCTTCATTCATACATTTTAGATGAATTGATTTCAGCTATCATCATGTCTCGCACACCTGCAAGACTTTTGCTGTGTGCTCAGGCACTCAGCTGATAGGTGGCTGCTACTCGAATGCGTTACCAAATTGGGGATCACGGCCAAATCCCACATCGGAGCTCACAAGGCAATGGATCGAGATGTCCGTATTCTTGAACGCTGTGTTCGCAGTGCTACTACCAGTATTTGCCGTCGCTGTGCTCAACATTTCGCTTGTTCGGCTGTTGAAAAAGCGGAATACTCAGGTATGTTATAAGTTAGCCATCTACCTGCTATTGTGTTTTTTTTTTCTTCTAAAAACCGCTTTCGATTCATTACATATAGAATGTTGGTTGAACATTCAGTACATATTGTTCAAAAGTTTTGATCATCGTCGTTTTGCCTTTCAGGAATTGCTGGTGCACACTGTGAACACGAATCCATCGACAAGGCACGAGCAAGAGAGGAAAATGACGCATACCGTACTCGCAATAGTCACATGCTTCTCGTTGACTCAAGGGCCGTCAGCGCTGGTGTTCATCTACCAGCTACTCTACCCCTCCTCCAGGTAGGATTTTTCGTAATGTTCTGTGTACTGCTTTACTAGGCCTTTTCGATACCTGGTCCAATCTGGTCGATGTAGGGCATTTTTGTTGTATAAAGGCGTCTATTCGGACTTGAGGGCCAGTTCCCCTAGTTAGTCTTATTTCAAAAATGTTGATCATCGCTTATGTACACGTGGCTCTGCAATCTTGTCCCTTGATCGCTATGCTTTTGAACCGATTTGAAAGCAGGAGACCTCAGGGAGCTCACCAGGGGGGGGGGCACCGTGACAGCAACCAGCATTTCCTCTGCTCACAATTCAGTGTGCTCTTTGAAGCCTTCGATCTTTTTGTTAATCTATGAGTTCTTCGTAGACGGGCCGGGAGCAACTTGAGCTCGCTTGCCTCCACTCATCGCTAGATTTAACCTTACGTTGTATCGACTTCAATTTCTACGCCCTTTCCTGTAGAGGCCCTCCATACGATCCCCACCGTGATTTCGTTGAACCTGCCATCGCTAAAGAGGTCCCAACATAAATTTCACAAAGATTGTGAGTGGACGAGGAAACTGTGAAATGGCAAATGGCAATTTCATGTATATACCTCCCTACATTCCAGCTTTTACTTCAACCACTCTGTGTCCTTAAAACACGACCCGCTTTTTCAAGAAATTCCAATAGAGTCGGGCTCTGCTCACCATTACCTTTGCCCTTCGGAATCGCTTTACTTCAAGGATGGTGCCAGTTTTGCT